ATACGCCTCGAATCTAATGGCTAATCCTCTTTGTGCTTGAAAAGTGTTTCCTTCATTTCAGTAGAATGGTCACGACAGCAGTGGACTCTTGTTAGCTGACCAGGAGCCTCGGGCTGCTGGCGGATTTATACTGGGTGCAGCGCGTCCGACACCCTTTGTCAGCAAATGTGCTTTGGTTTTTAATTGGTTTTGGAGACTGAGGGTCTTACTGATCATGTTACAGAAATAATGGACTTGCCGTTTTAAACCGGTGGATAGACTCTGTTCAGGATTTAGGCCCCAATCCTACAAAGAGGCACACACAGAGTTCGCTCTATTCACATGAGCGATCCCATTCATTTCAGGAGCAGGGTGCCCAGTAACTGGACCACAAGGCATGCACGTAGCTGCAATTACCAGATCCAATTCATCTTGCTATAGGATGTGTACCTTTGAGTCTGACTGGCAGCAGGCTTCAATGTGTGAGTCATTGCAGGATCTAGGCTTCGGTGCCTAACATTCTAGAAATATTTACACTGAGTGAATTGTTGTTGGCACAGAATGCTGTCCCTCACCCCCACCTGCCTCTTTCCCCAGCAGCTTTTGACGGGGCATTTTTATTTTTTTCTGAACCCAGTTTAGGCAAAGTTCTGCTGCTGCTTCACCACCTGCCTCACATCTGGGCTTCAGCTGAGCCAAGTCTCTCTCAGACACAGAGGAACAATGTAGTTATTCAGCACCGGCTTTCAGCCTCTTGTATCCAGAGACAGTGGCTGGTGGGGTGTCTTCCTCCTACTTCCCCTCGCACGCACCTGCCAAGCCAGGCTGGGGTCCCTCACTACCTCTTTGCTGTTTAAATCCTCGCTTTGAAAGGACTGATCTAATCAGAGAAGATGAAGGTTGATGGGCTTCCTATCAAACAAGCAGCATGGAGTCAGAACAGCAGAGTTCAGCCCACTATCTAGCTACACATCTCTGTTTTGTGACGGGCTGCTCGGGAAGCAGCATCTCCCGGCCACACTGCGTCACTCAGGGGCTCAACATTTGCATCCCAAACTACCTGACAGGGGGGTTACATTTGACTGTACAAATCCACAAGGAAGGAAGTAAATGTTGCTGAATAATTAAGGACATAAACACCTTAGTCTTTCTATTATGCAGGTCTCAGATTAAAGGGTTCCTGGGCTTGGGAGGGTTACATCAATCTCATATAAAACACAGCAATAGCAAACAAACAGCCTGTAACCCTGGTGTGCGTGAGCTCCACTTAGGGTGACCAGACAGCAAGTGTGAAAAATCGGGACAGGGGGTGGGGGGTAATCTACAAGAGCCCATACAAGAAAAAGACTCAAAAATCAGGACTGTCCCTATAAAATCAGGACATCTGGTCACCCTAGCTCCACTGAGCATTCTCAAATCCTAAACAAACAAGGCAACAGACCTTCCAAAGACACGCTCTGAGCTAGCTCTTTCCCCCAAGAGAAGCGAACACCGAGGAACAACCAGAGCTAGTGCTGCACTTCCCTTTTGTAATGTGCTGGGGGAAGGCTCTAATTCACCACAGCTGAGAGCCCTGCTACCCTCTCACTCACTGTGCATGCAGTCCTGCTCTTTCCCTGGCTCAGAGAGCGTTAACTCTTTCCTTGCTGACCCCAGGACTGGCTCGATACAGCCCTACAGTAGGTCCATGTAATACTTGTGTTGCATTTCAAATTTCCTTCAGCAGCACCCACTAGAAAGGTCACTCTCACTGTTAGACGTGACCTTTCAGTAGAGAAGCCCAGTACATGAGCAAACTTTACACTCAAATGTACATGTCTTTTCCTGCTTTTACATCATGATTTCAATTCACCTGAAATATGTTGTAATTTAGTCTAGAATGTCCTCCAAGGGAAAAACAAATCTCAAATTATACTGCAAAGAAATTAATAGGAAACAATGCAATGCAGTCACTGTTTCTACAGGGCCTCTGAGGTTGTGTGCTTCAGTGCTAGTGAGCCAGGAGAGGGACCCATCATTCACTCAAATCATCAGAAACTCTACTGCTTCCTGTAGAGTCACCATGAGAATTTGCAACGTGCTCATAGAAAATTTGTGCATTTTCTTTTGGGATCAGGGGACAGTGAAAAGATTGACATGATTATAATAGAAAAATACTAGGAAAAATAGCCTTGAATGTTTTTGTCTTTGTGGGGGATGAGTGAAACCAATCCATTGTTTCCCACTTTTGAAAGCCAAGTCCCCCTTCAAGAAAATCCTAGTCACAGCCCCCTTTAAACTCACCATGTTAGAGTGAAACTAGCTCTACTACTGTACTACATCCCCCTGGCTACTCCTTTGTGCCCCACCGCCCCGACATGCCCCACACGGGTCCAGTCTATTCAGACAGCACAGAGAGCTTTTCTACCTGCACAGTCTTGTGGAACTGTAAATTGACCATAACCCAAAACACCTGTTTGAAATGCATGTCTCTGTATCTTGCCCTCTTAACTTAGCTATACATACATTTTCAAAAAACACTGTTTGGGTTGAAAGAGGACTGATTTCAACCAAGGAAAGTATAACATGAGGATTTGTCATAAGATTTTGCACATTTAGGTGCTGATCCTGCAATGGGCTGTGCACCGTCAGACCCCAGATCTTGCATGAAGCCCTACTGACTTAAAATAAATATTCAAACACTTGCACTGCTTATTAGCAGGGTTACATAAAGAGCAGCTCCACATTTATACACTAGCACTAACAACACAGCTTTCATTAGGCATATTTATTAATAATATTAGGAATACAGTGTTCTGTAACTAGGGCTCAAGGCATATTTTAATATGACTGCAATAACCATATCAAATGAATCCAATTTATTATGACACGCAGAACTGAGTCTGACTGGTAACAGGCTGAGAAGCCAATCAACATTCTGTCTGATATCTGGGGATTTTAATGAGTCTCACTCTAGGGTGATACAAGAGTAGTGTTCGCTTTATGGTTTACTATTAGAAATCTAAGAGACTTACTATTTATTAACAAATATTGCCTAGCTTTTCATGGTTAATTTGATTTTCTAGACCTGCTTCTATTTATTGTTCAAAACCAAAGATAGACAAAAACTGGAGCTACTCTGGGGTTATGGATGAATGGAGAAAAGATTCAACTCTCCTCCCGTGCTTCTGGGTTTGATTTTGCAAAATAAAATCCTGACTCAGCACTTTTTGCAGATTACCCAGTTACTAATTTTTCATTAACTGCACCAGGGAACTGAGCTCATTCAGTGGAGAGGGCCAAATTACATTTTTAATTAGGGTCGATGCACTTTGACTACAAGAACATATAGTACCCTCCACAGTAGATTTCCCAATGATATTGGGGGCAAACTATGACCCTGGCACAGTAATTAGATTTTTAGGACCACTGATATTTCTGCCCTTTGTTTAAGTGTCCACTTATGTGTGGGACTGAAGTAACAGTGCATATGAATTAGGCAGGCAGCTGCAAGCCCATTCTGTATGCACAATTGTCCATCTATGTTTCTAGAACCTGGGATGTAGCCATTAGGCTTCAGAATCACAAATTTATCAGCATGAATAGGAGGAGCTCACATCTTTCAGAGATGTTGCAGTTGTATCACTCTGAACGGCACAATGACCCCCCCCCCCAACCTGCAGCAAGAGCTGTGGACTTGGCGCTGAGCTCCCGTGAGCTGCTTCTCTTGCCCAGAACCTGGCAGCCTAGAGCCCCCTAAATCCCCAGCCCTATGGAGTGGCTACATCCCCCAGCAACTCTGAGCCCCAGGCTCCAAATTCCACTACAGATCCCTGAGCCCTCAGCTCCCCCAACCCAATCCCAGAGCCCCCCAACACTCCCAGCTCCCCCCAATCCCAGAGCCCCCCCCAGCTCTCTCTAACCAATCCAAGTCCACCAGCACTCAACTCTGTTAATCCCAGTTCCCCCAAAGCCCCAGTACTTCCACGCTCCCCCCCAACACCAGCCCCCTCCCCCACGCACTCCCTGCTCCCCCCCAATCCCAGAGCTGTCCCAGCCCCCCCCAGGCCAGTCCCCCCAATCCCAGAGCTCTCCCCCCCCAGGCCAGGCCAGGCCAGTCCCCCTGGGCCCCCCAATCCCAGAGCTCTCCCCCCCCAGGCCAGGCCAGGCCAGTCCCCCTGGGCC